ATAAAGGGTGGAAATGATACTGTAGATATAAAAAAAAGAAAAGAAAGAAATTGAATTAATTGAAAAAGAAGAAAAAAACAGAAAAAGAGATTGGCATTTATTTACGCAAACATGAGATATAACGAAAGAGTGAAAAGAGAAAAAGATAAGATTATGAAAAACCGATCTTTCCCATCGACGAAAATTTTATCCTCGGCAGGTATTTTATCTGAACTTCTCCTCTTCATTCTCGATATAGGAGATACGCGATACACGTTTTATTTGCAGGAGACGGATATATTCACGATTTCAAGGGGTTTTTCGTTTACACAATTCCATCGACTTTTCGACGTATATACTCTTTTTTAACGTAAACATACTATAATATATCCTATTGATGGACTACACATATACCATACCTAATACACACGATATACATGAAATATGATAAAAAAAAATGGAAATATGTAAAAAGTCAGATAAACGAACACAAATGATTACATGTCAGACATTACAGATAACTATGAAATGATTCACGTATAATATATCTATGAAAGAAGTCTAAGAATAAAGAAATCAAAATCTTTATCTCACACACAAGTATATCTATATTATTATTATTATTATTATTAAAAAAAAAAGCATATATATAATACAAGAAAAATAGGGGCGAATTTTTGTATTAACGACATCAATATGATACAATCGTATTATTTCGTATATTCATGCTCTCTGAAAGTTAAAATTTCATTAGGCTTTCAATCGAAGGATGCAAAGTGTCTCAAGCATGTCGCAATAGAATAAAATCGAGAACGGTGTCTCTCTTCGAAACTGACATTCTCTCGTAACTTTCCATTCTCCTCCGTATGTGTCGTTCGCGCGAATGAACGTATGTACGAAATAAAACGTATGAACATACGAAACGAACGAAATGAAAGAAGGAAAGACGCGCACGAGAGAGGTCCCAACACCCCACCCCACCCCCTTTTGCCACCTTTTACCCCTCCCCACTCCCACCCTAACCCCATTCGACAAACGATTCGAACGAAACTCGTTAATTTCGTAGCCCGACGAGTCCAAAGGTAATTCGATTCTCTTTTACGCAATTTCGGCGTTGTAACGCGGTTTCCCACTCGTAGAACTGCGAAACGAGCTTTCTGAACGATTTAACGGGTGTCTCAAGATCAATTATTTAAATCTTTTTTTCATTTTTCTAAAACAATCTCTCGATTGAACGCGACGAATATCTGTATAGTATATTATACATATATTGTTTCAATTTAATACTTTCACGTATTTTTAATACAGTTTTTCATTTACAATTGATATTATTTAAAATGATATTTTCTATATTTAAGAAATTCGATGTGTTTTTCTTTCTTTCTCCCTCTCTCTCTCTCTCATTTTTGTTTTTTCCAATCAATGCAACATGAATACAATTTTCAATGAATTGTGCGGGATATTAATATTCAAATGAAATCCGTATATATATATCGTGGTAATTATTAATATATAATATAGGGTTACAAATAATCGCGTGCATTGAAATGTTGTTTCAAAGCCAATCCAGTAATGAAAACGTTCGATCGAGTTTCGACCAATTTAATTTGATATATTGAAAATTCAAATCGTAAATATTTTTCTTTTATTTTTCTTTTTTGTTGTTGCTATATTATTTTGTCTATAAGTACAATATAAAATGCATCATTAATCGGCGCGTTTTCCCCTCCCCCTCCCCCACCACCCCGTTTCTCATTCTAATATAATATAATATATTATTAAAATATATATTATGTAAAATATTACATAAAGAATTGATATTATATTAAGAATGTGTGTTGAAAACGTATTAGAATAATAAATGGAGAACGTGAAAGGAACGATTTATTTGCGAATAAGAATTTTTACGATCGATTTTAACGAGAATTTCACTCTCTTTTCTCTTTCCATTGAGATCGAACACCGACCCCGTTGACGATCGCGATCTTTCGTTCTTCCAATACGATGCCGCCGTTTGTGTTAGTGGTGATGGTGATAGTGATGGTGATGGTGATGGTGTTTGTAAATCGATCGTGGCTGCGTCTCTAAGGTGATACTGCGAAAGCGATCTAGCTCGTTAAGTACCGCCACTACTATCCAAAGGAGAAGAAGAAGAAGAAGAAGAAGAACGTTGGAAAACGATCCGCTTCGCGAAGAAAGATCGAAAGATCGAGATCAAGAAAATAATGTGGTGGATCCTCGAGCCGATAATCCTACCAAGGAAACACCGGCGAATTATGCGAGAAGGTTGTATTCTTAGTTGACTCTTTGTTATATACCCCTTTTCATTTTTTTTTTTTTTTTCTATAAAATTCATCGAGATCGTTACGATAATGTTTGAATAAAAATCTAACGTATTATAATATTATTTTTCACATAATATGTATGGTATAGAATATTTTTTATACATTATATTATTAATATTAAATACACGGAGCAAAAAGATAAAGATTAGAATCGTCATATATTCTATATAGATACATATTTTGTCTCGAGATTATTATATACGAATGTTGTTATACCAATAGGAAAAAACTTGATTAGAAATCGCTAGTTGAAACTATCGTGTACCTCGTGTTCTTTTTATGATATAACAAAAAATATTGACAAAAAGGAAATAAATAATCGAAGCACATGCTTCTCGAGAAGATTGCTCGAATTACTCTATTATCGATTATTATCCGCGTTAACTACTCTATTCGACAAAAAAATATCTATCTCTTTATTAACGATCGATTATATTAAAAGCCAATGAAGCGTATCTTCTAAGAAGAGAAAACGTAATGAACGACAAAAATATTTCAATAATTCTTCGATTAATTTATATCTCCTATAGAAAAATTCTTAACATTTAATACATTTTTCTTTTTATTATATTTCCTGTGTGGATATTAAAAATTGAACAGAACAGAGAGAGAGAGATAGAAAGAAAGAGTTACAAAACAAAATGAAAAGATGAAGAAAAAAAAGAGTCGCAGTTCGGATTGCCCGGTCCGGTTTTCGCGGTGCCACCCCGTATACCGCATGGGAAAATAAATCTTGTGGACACTCACCGGGAGGGAGACTGGACACTGGACGCTGTCACCGGACACGGGTTGCAGCGACTGCAACAGATCGCGTGCGTGAAAGAGAGGACGGCTATCAATGGCTGCATTATACAATACCAACTGGCGGTACACGGATTTATACCTACATATATACATATATACATATATATATATGTATATATATATATACATATATATATAGATATATCCATATACGTATATATCTCTATATTTATATATATATAAAATATACGTATTATACGCACACATACACTTGTCCACAAACTTGATCGTGCATCGAGTGAGTGTCGGACGTTACATACGTGAATTAAACGTACATATATTACATATATATATATATATATATATATATATATATATATATATATATATATATATATATGCATATAAGGTATTCCCCGAAGAGAATCCTCTTCTTCTCAATGTGCAAACTCGTTCAGCGGATTCACGTACGCGAAAGAAATAAAAGAAACACACGATCAGACGAAACGACCGAATAATGTCGCGGATGAGCCCGAAGACGTTTCCAAACCGAAATAAGAGGATACCTTTCCTTGCCTGTTATTCTTGGTCCGTCCTGCTCCACCCTGTTTTCTCGCGTTTACTTTACGACGAACATTTTGCCGATTAGATATCGCCCTTTTGCAAACATCACCGTCGGGGAGTGGGTTCGATCATTGTATGCTTCTATCATTCACTCTCTCTCTCTCTCTCTCACTCTCTCTTTCTTTATTTTTCTTTCTCTTTCTCATTCTTGATCGATCGATCGATTGATCGGTGGGTCGGTCTACCTATCTCTGTCTCTTTTGCTCTCACTCTCGACCGGACTGACCTGTTCACGTCGCATACAGAGCCGCAATAACTATATCCAGCCAAACGCTTTTTTCCTGCAAGTGCGTTCTTGCACCAACTGGAAATGAATTGAGTTATTGTAAAATTGTGTCCCCCCCACCCCTATCCCCTATCCACTATCCCCGCCCCCCCCGTAGTCCCGTGTCACCCCGTGAGTCTAGTTATATCTTTATCCTTCTTCTTCTTTTTCTTATTTTCTTCTAGTCACTAAGAGTGAGAGGAACAAAATGGGGGGATAGTGTGTGCAACGTAAGTAATCGTTGTTACCATTTTCCTTCTATAGTTCATAACTACGCGCACGGTGCGTTGCCACGTGCTTGATTTAACGTGATATATGTGTATATGTATATATATATATATATATCTTGCTTACGCTCGTAAAGAGAGAGTTGATTTATTAATTTGTTACTTTCTTTTTCTATTTTATCTCTTTCAATTTTCTAAAGATCGTCTTGAAAAAAAAAAGAAAAACACAAAAAAAAATTATAGGATTTTCTCTTCTTCTTTTTTATTAATAATTTCTAATGATTAATATTTAACGCGCCGAGATCTTACGTTCCTTGGGTTTTTTCTTTTAAAAGATACGATTTTTTTAAAAAACAATTCCAAATTTCATCGACGCATCGTATGCACGTGCAATCAAAAAGGTAAACAAAATTTATATAGTTACGTAACATACATCGTTGTATTATATAATATCCCCCCATGGTAATACAAATTTCTATCGTTTAATTATTAAGAGAACATATGTTTTAAATAGAAAAGATTTAAATATTGATAAATATTTTGGTATTAAAACTGAATAAAATTTTGTCTATTCTGTTGTGATAAGTTTGACCAGTTAAAAACTCATATAATAATACATAGATTACATATTCAATGTAAAATATATATATATATATATATATATAGAGACATGCAAAACTATTTCACAAATAGTACTCGTAAGAAAATACGAATCTATTATATTTAAAGAAAAGATAATAATATATAAAATAATTTCTAATACTTTAACGAATAAAAAAATACAATCTATAAATGAAAATAAGTTTTTCTACTCACCGGCTACGAATTTCGTTCCAGGTGATCGGGTTTACGGCCGTGACGACCCCATCCACCGTCGAACAATTACGGCAAACATCAGGAAGCGCTCCGTTCTGTAAACGAAACAATAACGGAGTGTCTTCGTTAGTTTCTCAGCATGATCGAATGTAACAGTACGAACGAACGAACGAAAGTTAGTTCTTTCCGTCGTTATCTTCTAATGTAAAAACGGGACGAAATTTATGCGAACGCTTGTTAAATGAAAGTAACGATCTAACTTGAAATTTTCCCACGAGAGGCGGCCACCTTCTAAGAAGGTTAAGATATAAATATATATCGAATTATTTTATCTTTCGATATATATTATATTAAAACTCGTCAAAAGGATCCTTGAATTTTCTATATCGTTCTATTTATAAACGCTATGATCAAATATATAAATTCATGGTAATTATTAGTAATATTATTTATCCAGAATTTCTATATTAATAGTATTCATTTTATTAATATTGTATTAATATAATTGTACATACACACACACACATACATACATACATAACATATACATTTCTTTTTTTCTTTTTGAAAATAATCTTAATCTAAAAGATTGGTACCTTAGTTCGTTACTATCAAAAGTGATGAAGAGAAGGATAAGATAAAGCTTATTTGTAAAAATTCAAGGTCAAGAAATTTGCATAATTCGAATAAACGGATACTAGGGATACTTGGAAAAGACAAAGGACGATGATTCAGAAAATCAGAGGAGAAAATTACCTGGTAGATGACACAAGATTCCTACGAACTTGAACACTACATCACTGTCTTCCTTTTACCCACTCATGTACATACTCACTCACTCGACATTTCAAAGTTTTATAGTCGAAATACCGATCTTCTCCCTCTTTCTCAAGGAGATATTCGCTGACTAATGCCGATGGTTTTAAAAATTTTTTTTTTTTTTTTTTTTTTTTTTTTTCGCATATTTTATATCACTGCTCGAACTATGCCGAGTATCTTCCGGCTTTTACGAATAAAACATTTCGATCGCGCTAATCTGTGAAAAGAAGAAATTAAAAAAAAAAAAACAAAAAAAAATAAAGAAATAAAAAATATAAACTCGTGCTGAGGACATATTGTAATAAATATCTAAAAATGATCAAAATAAAAAAGATAATATACATCGTATATTTGTAAAGTTCGAGCAAAAAAAAAGAAAAAAGAAAAAAAGAAATCTCGAAATCTTTGTTACTGGACGTATTCCGTTCCTAGAGAAGTCAACTCACGTTCTAATAATAGCTAAGCTAATTAATTCTCAAACACGTAGGTAATGTACCTGCAACCGCGTAGACGTTTCTGATTAGCTAAAATCCGTAAACTCGTTACGTAATCACTTAGAATACTATGGTAAAGAAAATGATATCTGTAAAGGTGACGAGAACGTTCTCGTTTTAGGAGGGTAGTTCGAGTGCATGAAAAAAAAAAGAAAAGAAAAAGAAATGAAAAAAGTAAAAAAAAAAAGAAACGAATATAAATCAAATACTTTAATCTGACAGATTTCTCTTTTTGAGTAATGATCAGTAAAATAAATAATAATTAATACGAGATTTTAATAAGAAAATCCAATCTAAACAACTGCATAATTCTATTTAGATAAAGACAAGTATATGAGACGTATTAATCTAACATCTAATAACTACTTGAAAATACAAACATATGTAATTAATTACCAAGCTATAATTACAAATATATCTCAAGATCGGTATAAATATCTAATAAATTCATCATTATTTATTTCTCATATAAATTTCACATAATAATCTTGCGATGTTAGATTGAAATCATTGATCTTAGAGTCTGATAAACCAAATTCCTTTTTTCTCCTTTTCCTTTCCCTCCCACCCCTCTTTCTCTCTCTCCCCGTTTCTTTTCTTTCACAAAGAAAAAGTAAAATTCTAATCGAACGGAATAGTGAACGATACGAAAGTAAAAGATGTTCCTATACAAAAATAGGAGAACAAAAAGAAGAATAAGAATAAGAAGTAGAATTTTGTGATCATGAAAGAGCTATAAAGCCGTCGAGCGTTACTATCCGGGTTTCCATTATTTGCTGAGGAAAAGTGAGGCCAGGTTACTGCACGAGACCAGGAGTGCGAAGAGTTAGAAACGGCGCTTTCAATTGGATGACAGGCGAAAGGCATCCGGTCGAATAGGAGGACGTATAAAATCAACGTTGGATTACGTGCGAATGGTCGTCCTGCAACGTCGGCCGATATACTTAGCAAGTAATCGATGCTAGCATATATAAATACCATGTATGCATATGTACCACCATATATATATATATAGATAGATTAAATGAGGATACTCGAGAGGTTGGTAGAACTTCGTTTACTCAAGAGTACCTTAACACGTATAAATACGCTGACAATCGGACAGCTAATTCTACACCCTTCGGCTTTTAGTTCTCCTTAGTTGAGAGACTAAAGTAACAAATCTTCGTAAACTATTTGAGGTTTCCTATTTCATTTATAAAACCGACCGACGTTCTATACGATCGTATAGAGGATAGATAGTTAAACATACGTCTAATATATTTTAATAAATGAATTCATGATTATATTTCGTTATTTTACTTATATATGTTACCGTCATAGCCAGAAATCCGCCATTGATATTAATTCCTTGGCATTCTCATCAATGCAAAGAGTATTCCGATGAAGTCGGAAACAGAAGAATTCTTACAGTTTTTCATAAGCATTGAATAAATTACTTTGATATTCTTTAGAATATCAAATTACTATTTAAACAACGTTGAAAAAAATACATTCTCGGGTACAGGCAAACACAGCCATACGCAACCCCCCCTCCCCCCAAAACAATCCATACAGGTAAAAAACATTTCTTTCTAAACCTGTTTATCTTCTGATACAATAGGAAACAAAAGATACAGTTTTCTGTGGAATACTTTATGAATATCTGTCTAACTAATGTCTACAAAATATAGCCTGAATCTCTTTGCAAATCGAATTATAACTCGATAAAGTATTTTACATGTAGGAAAAAGTGTGCACTTTAATTTAATATAAAAATTATTAAGATCCGTTTGCTCTAAGTATAAAAAAAATTTGCCGAAACATTTTAAAGAAATGGCAAAGTAGGAAAAATTTGCAGCGTCGCATTCTTTGCCATTTTATGAACCTTTTCAGATTGATTTGTTACTCGATATGGTATTCAACGCGTAGATAAAAGAGTGTACTTTAATTTAATACAAGTTTTATTAAAATTCATTTGCTAAAAGTATAAAAAATATTTACCAAAACTTTCCAAAGAAATTGCAAAGATGCACAATTTACAGCATTGTATTCTCTGACATTTTATGAACCTTTGCAGATCGATTTATAACTCAATAAGATATTCTGCGTGTAGACAAAAGAGTGTACTTTAATTTAATATAAGTTTTATTAAAATCTATTTACTTTTAGTATAAAAAATATTTACCAAAACTTTCCAAAGAAATAGCAAAGTTGTACAGTTTACAGCACTGCATTCTCTGATATTATATCAATGGATTTTCTTTGAAGAAGAAAAATAAGTTAACGCGCGTCGATAACAATAACAAGTGACCAGATGTAAGTAGGGTATCGTGGATTTTGGAATGGTCGGTTGGATCGCGAAAGGTTCGTTTCAGTAAAAACCGACGGAAACGTTAACGGAACGAGTTTCTCAGTCCGTTATTCTATAAGGGAAGAGATGAAGAAAAATAAAAGGAAGCTGTAGAGAGAAAGAAGAAGAAAAAGAAGAATAAGAATAAGAAGAAAAGGGTATAATATGAGACGATCGATAATCGTTAAGATTAAATTCAACTATAATAAATGGAAACGAAGAAAGGTAGAATCAGTTTTAATAAGCCCGTTACCTATACGATGATATTCCTTCGATTTTCGTTGAATTCATAAAAATAACAAAATAAAATATATATATATATATATATATATATATATACAAACACATATGTATACACGGATATAAGATACGTATACGTGGCAGACTCGTACTTAAACCAGTAACAATATTCTCTTATTTTCAACCTGGCGTAAGTTAACAAGATTGTGTATCTTTTTGGTGTACAAAACGGAGTCACGAGAAAGAAAGAAAGAAAGAAAAAAAAAGAAGAAATCAGAGGAACGGGTAAAAGAAGTTGGTGCTCTCGCAATATCGCGATCTATAAGTCACATATCTTAACGAATCCGTGAAAAGAACACAAGCTACCGATTAAAAGGGAAATTTCGTTGCTTTCTGCACGGTTCCGATAAAATAAAATAAAGAGGAAAAAAAACGGAAAGAAAAAGACAGAAATAAAAAAAAAACAAAAAAGAAATAAAAAAAAAAAAAGGATACCGTGCGAGAAGTAGCGGACGAATCTTATCTCATTCTCTCTCTCTCTCTCTCTCTTTCTCTTTCTCTCTTTTCTCTCTTTTCTCTCTCGAAAAGGTAGGTTGCTCCCGGTTCTACCGTACGGGATAACATGCTAATGGAACGTGGGCGTAGCACGGAAATAAGGAGAGACGCAGGCGTGCTCGCACGACAAAGTGGTAAGTAGCCAATTTTGGTCTCGCTTTCGAGAGCGGCAAACCAGTCGCATAAACGGTTCGACTAAAGCCACGATTCTCGATTTTTGTCTCTCAACTACAACGACGACGACGACGACGATCAAAGAAACATGGAAACTGTGTGTGGAAGGACATTTAATGAGTATTTTAAGATTTTCTAATAGTAAATTGAAAATTATCAAATTGGATCTTCATTATTTCGATATCACCAATTTTTTCGTTAATTCTGATGATAACTGTAATTTTCTAGAACAAATATATATTCACATTTTATATGTATTTATCCATTAATAGAGTTAAGAATGTTAATACTATATAAATATATATTATATAGGATTAAATAATAATCTATTGAAAAAATATGAAAATAAAAATATATTATAAATGAACGTCAATGTCGTTAATATGTTATAAATGGTCAAAAAATATATGTATATATGCATATATATTATATATATGTATTATCGTAATACAGCAATACATTCGATTAATCGTATAACGCG